CAACTCAATCACTGAGCCTGACCAGCAAATTCATGTAGTTGCCTTGTACAGCTTGCCTTGTATGAACCGTTTAATTATTGGAGTCATTCATAAAGAGTTCCTCCCCAAGACACGACCTGAAGGATAGGTCGTCAGCAACCCATGCTTGTCGTAAGAGGCGACAAAGTTTGTGGTAAAACACAACTAATAGGATCGGGTGGTCAAGCTCGCTGACTTGGTTGATGCATGTCATCGTATCCAAATAGCGTGGATCAATGTTCATGACATCAATCACAAGATTGTCTGGTCCAGACTTGATTATTTACAGACCGCTGTCATCTAGCTGGACTATTGCTGAGTGAGGCGTTCAACAACAAACAAAGAAACAAACAGACATACAGAGTTACAGTCTATTGTTACAACTTGCACACTTGCTACTAGTCAGCACCATCTGGAAGCTCCTCTACACCCACTTTCCATGATGAGTATAGACTAACATCTAGTCTCTGAAATGAACATATCGTACATAAAAAAACAGTTGTTCAGTTATCTTAATAAAAATATAATAAAAAGGAGCCCAGTGACTCTCTTCATTTTCAGATACTGCAGTGATCTAGACTTGCCAAACATTATAGACTTGCATGGTCTGTATTTGATATATATTTGTATCCGGGTCTGTAAGACAGACTATGTTGAGTACAACAGATATTTTCTGAAAAAATATTAAACGGAAATAAAATGAGACAGAGGGAAAAAAGAACAAAATCTGACTGTAATCGGGTGGTGAGAGTAAGACTAGCATCCCAGACTTTTCACCACATCAGAAACATATAGTAGACCAGCAGACAAATGCTTCCACTTACATGCCATACTGAAGCAGCTGGCAGTAATATTTGGCCTGACTGAATCAGTGTGTCTACCCTCAGCACATCACTATCAACTTATCTCACACAAGTACTTGATCACAATACTAACTGTCAGTAAACATGGTAAATATTCATTAATAAATAGATTCCTCCAAACCTCTCCCTTCAATTATGTTCTCAAGTGAACAAGGATAACAAATTTCAAAGTGCAGATGCAAACAATTTTGACCCCTACTAAATTGTACAAAAATAAATCTTAATTTGAAATCACTTTCTGATTGAGTGAGAGTAAGTTTGCTTTAGTGCTGCTACGAACAGTATTTCAGTTAGAAATTGGCACTAGTCCAATAGTCCTCGCCAAATTGCCTAATAGTTAAGCTATCATAAGTTCTAATAGACATTGGGTGCTTAAGAAATTCGCTATATGTTATTATGAGGACTAGTGGACTAAAAATGTTACTTTCTGTCCCTGTGTGTGTCAGCTTATTGTGGGGGAAGGTCCGAGGTGATGCAGGTCAAGCTTTTTAAACTTTCAGTTATACGACTACAACTTTGGTGAAACCCCCACACATGGGTATAATCAGAGGAAATCTGGGAGTCAGTGTTTGGCATGCCTAAGTGACACAACGCCGGACAGTGAATTACATGAAATACAGCACCTTAGATAACTGGGGCAATGAAGATGCAAAGAAAATCAAAACCTGCCAACAAAAAAATTCACATAATCCCAACTTCCCTTCTTCATCCTCTCTCTCTCTCTCTCTCTCTCTCTCTCTCTCTCTCTCTCTCTCTCTCTCTCTCACACACACACACACACACACACACACACAGTGAGTGCATCATTAAATGATGAGACTTCTACTTGATCTGACTGAAAGTACCTGGAGCCACACCATTATGCAGCATGAGTCACACCTAGATGTAAACATACTGCTCCTCTCAGTTGTGTCTTGTAATCCCAAGCCAACCGTTCCACGGTAGATGTGTTTTTAAATATCAACACATGTTCACTCAAACTCAAACGCCTTGATCTCAGGAAACACTATACTGGGTTTCCATTAAGCAATAGAAACTTAAATCTAATGGCCACTACAATGATTACATGGAATGAAGAGTCCTGGGTAGCTTTGAACATTATTACAGATGATTCAGTTAAATAGATACATGCTTTACATGCTTAATGGATCTTAATAACATTTTGACACACATAATTTCTTTAATACCTTCAACATGTTCAACAGCCCTATCAAGATGAATATCATAAAAAGAGTAAATACTACAATTACATGGCTGTAGCCATGTTAGCATGGCCAGGTTGTCTGGAATTGTTGTGTCTCTCATTTCCTAATAAATGTTCTCATATTTCCATCCTGCTAAAAAATTATTATATTCCTACCATTCACTTGCTTGTATAAACATCATTCTGAGAAAGAATTAAATTAACAAATGTTGTTCATGGAGATGTGGTAACACAAGAATATAGGGGTGGCCTAAGGTCAAATTGAAAGAAATGAACTAAATGAATGTTGTAGAAATTCAAACTTAAATATCCTTTTCAAGTTCAAAAGAGTCAACTTTGCCTCCTCAAACAAACCTGATGGGACAGCCCCTTGCATGACTATGATCATGAACTAAAATCAACTAACATTACTCAAGTCATGCTAGTTCCAAAATGGAAATCAATAGCAACAATATTTCCTTTTTTATTCACAAGACTGATTGGGTTTCTGCCTGATTTATTTTGTTACATGGCATTTTGAAATGTTCACTCACATGCTTGAACCAGAGTGTGCCTTAGACATGCTAAACCAATGAAGTTAAGTAGATTGTACTGTCAGGATGGTAAACCTGCCTTGGTTCATTACAACCCATGTGTAACACAGTAAACTCTGATTAAAATGAAGCTGGAATACTAGCTTAGAAAACATTCTTAAGTGACATATCAAACTTGACAATGATAAAAATATTTGCAGAAGCATGCAAGAGTTACCTCCCCTTTGCATGCAGGCATGATAACAAGTATTGGATAATAGCATTTCTCTTTGTCTCAGACAGTTTTTGTATAAATCAATAACTTTTCTCTCATAGAAGCCTTCAAAAATAATAAGCATCTAAACTTTAAAAATGTTTCGCTCTTGGGAAAAGATAAGAATTTCCTGCATGGTCGCTACTGCCTCTCTCAACTTTGAATGAAATTCATAACAAAATTCATTATACATGGTAAAATCTCCCTCTGAGATGAAAGGCCAAGCCTTGGGGGAGGTTTTGACCATGTGTGATGTATCATGTCATGAATTTTTCAACAGATTCCTGTGATTAAGCTTCATGATAAATGAATCACATGAACAATACAAAAACAGACACCAATGATCATAGGTCTGTCGCAGTTGTCTCCCCTGATCACATCCACACACGCATTTACTTGCATGAAAGTATTTATGAACCATAATGACCATGTATGTCATCAAAAGAATAATAAACAAGGATTTGAGATCACCAACAAATTTAACAATTGATGCATCCTTATTTCATAAGTTTTTGTGTCTCACAAAAGATTAAAAAATCATATATTTTTTCTATCACAAAGAAATATGTAATTTCTTTATGCATAATGTACATTATATGCATATTTACCCTTTACATTTGCAATCATATTTACTCCCAACTGTAACTAGTTTGTACTCTGCCCTATGAGGGTGTTTTGTACAAAAAATCCTTGATTCCTGATTGAATGGAGTGTTATTTATTAGACATGTCAATAAAAACATCATCCACTTTTCTGGTAGTTTATATTGATGTTAAACACTTCAACAAGGGATCCAGATCATAACTGAACCAATGTGCAAATAATAAACCTGATTGGTAGGTGAACTCATGTCCAAATTATCGCTGTGACACCTGATCATGCTGAGGCTGGTCAACTTATCTATATCTTGTCAATCTCACAGCAAACAAGATGATGCACACCGTGCATACCAAACAGAATCATTTACCAAACATGATTATTTGAAGTAAAGAATGATTATGATTATCATGATTAAATTCAGTAAACAGAATTGTCTCATCATGTTCATGTCAATATGTATAATATTTATCAACATGATCAATGTGTTTATTTCCAAGGCCAATGATAGGATTGTGTGAAAATTTCAAAGTATCATAATATAATAGTCCCTCAAATCAGTAGAATTATCGTTATAAATTAATGTGTAGTTGTGCAAAAAAACATCAATGATGTACAAGCTGAAAACATGGTGTTCACATTTCAAAAACACAGCAACCATTCAAATAACCTGCCTACACCATGTGTACATATGTTGATAAAATATGGGGTGGTCACATTTTCCAATGTACTGTTCTCTTCATTGTAATTTTGTGGACATGTCTGTCAAACAAGATGAGTGAGCTCAATTAAACCCTGCTTGCTGTAGGAGGAAAACAAAACGCCATGCAGGTCTGAGACATTCACCAATTTGTGGTGACAAACAAACATAATTCGAACCCATCGACAATCATAGGTTTCATACGAGCCTCTGGTCACAACTCAGTCAGTGAGTCACGTCATCTAAACATTCTAAATGACAATACCAAAGCGATCGTATTATAATAATTCACTAGGATCTAGCCATTTTTTCTTGTCATTATGATCTTTTCGATATTTTGGTTTATTTTTTTAATTCATGGTTAATTAACCTAACTACAGTACAATTACTAACTGGTGTGGTACTCATTCGCCGTCACTCATCAGCTGCCCATTCACACCTTACAGACGTCAACTTCGACAAGGAAACGAGTAAGCTGTCGAATTAGTATTAATAATCAAGAAAGTACAATATCATTTGCTTACCGAATGTATATATAGAAAGACAGTTCGGATGTCACCACTCGCAAGTACCAATAATTCTGTGATAGTTTCGAAACATGAATCGTTCAACAAAAGTTTGCCCTCGAAACTTTTTCACACCGGATGTAGTTCAAATGCTATAGCTTCGCAGTCTGTATTTACATGGGGTTTTTTTAATATAAAATGTTTGCATACATATTGCTCTTTTTGTCACACCCTTTCATATTATTACGATGTTTTGCTTCATCACTGAATTAATATCCAGTTATTAATCATGTACATAGTAATTTCCGTGACACTAGTACCGCGCTGAAGAAAAATGGCGACCACCATCGCAGTCCGTACGCGAAAGAGCCGCCGGGGTAAAATCACATGCTCTCTTTCGTTGTTTGATATTTAACCTCCGACACACATGGTAGAACTTGTTCATACCATATTTTTGTTTTTAATTGAAGAGATTTGATACATGCGTTAGTCCGTGATTTGCTGGAATCACCAATGCCAATAAGACATGGGCCATTATCAGCTTGAAATTGCTGAATTATCATGGCTATGTATAATGTAGTATATGTACCGCTCCGCCTCAACTAACCGGTTTTTACTTTTACCGCAAAACTGTTCGCTAATAGGTAGATGTTTAAGGATTTCTATGTTCACAGCGTTAGATCTACTCTCTACTTGATATAGGTCATAGGCGTAGCTCTGTGTATTAATCTTTTTTATAATGTTCAAACAATTTACCCCAGACCTTTAAAATACACAACTTCTTGTGATGACGATCTCTGCTGTAGGGCACATGGCTCAAAGACAAGCAACCAGTTTTTGTGAGAATTCGTCGGGACATGAACTCAAAACCTTCAGATTTTTAGCCAAACAACTAACCGACTGTTGTCGACACTGTTAAACTTAGTGCAAATTTACCTAGCCAGCTGGTCATGGCTTAGACGTTACAGAACTGAACAGAAAGAGTCAAATAGGTGACGGACACTTACGAAGGTTACGGGTAGGCATGGTGTCTCGTGACTTTGGTTTACAGACACTCATGAGTGATCTCGATGCCATCTGGCAAAACCCATCCCATTCCATAATCTACACAAGTTAACAATTGGTAAGGAATGAGCTGTTTTGGTGCAAACAGCTCCAGGCGTTTTTTAGTATGCCTGAATGACGGTGTATCTGGCAGCAAAATATCATAAATTATGTCATAGGGTATTACATGTATTATGACGTGTTTGAAAAGTTTGTGCTACTGTACTTAGATCAAAAGACATTTTACTAGACATTTGCAAGCTTGTGAGTAGTGTCTCAAGTTTCAGCTTTATTTTTGTGTTAGTGGAGCTGTCTGGGTTGTGAGTGAGTGAGTTGGGTTTAACGCCGCTTTTAACATTTTTCCAGTTATATCACGGCGTGTCAGCTTAATGTGGGAGGAAAGCTCGAAGTGATGCAGGTCCTGCAGGTCTCAGACGTTTACCACTTCAGTGAAACCCACGAGCACGTGTATGGTGCTGATAAACCTAGAAACATAATCGGGGCGAACCAGGATTCGAACCAACAATCATAGGTTCTGGTGTGCCCAAGGGACGCAACTCGTCTGGGTTGGGAAATTATGATCGCACATGTATTATATTTGTAAGCATGTATATCATAATATATGATTACCATGCTTACATCATCATGTTGTGTACGTGTGAAATCATAAATGATTCAAGGAAAAATAGAGATTTGGGACACAGACTTTTGATTGTTTGAAACTGTAAACCTTATGTAATGTGTTATGGTGTGACACGTCATTGTGATCATGGTGATAATAAATTAAAATTTATTCTTTCAATTATGGTTTAATTGGTCCAAGGGCCTTTTTTCAAATGTAGGGGCTAAAAGCACAAGGCCCCACCCTAGAATTATCCCTGTTATCTGCATACCAATACATTATGGATTGTTTCTGATTTGATAAGAATGTCTGGAGAGCAGAAGGTCTGGGGTTCGATCCCCGAACCGCTTCATACCAAACGACATTAAAAGATGGTACTTGTTGTTAACCTGCCTGGCACTCAGCATTAAGGGACTTAAAAGACTGGTCGGCTCGAAGTCAGTATACTGTGTCTTAGTGGGGTATTCATGTTAAGCTACTGCATGGTATTTCAGTGAGCTTGAGCTATAAAAACAGCATTAGTCCAGATGAGTACACGCAGTCACACACACATGCATGTACATTGCTATAAGTGCAATAATCTTGCCACGTTAAACCCCATTTAGAATCAGTGAGTAGTGTCTCAAGTTGCAGCTATATTTTTGTCTAGTTACATCTGTCATGGTAGTTATGTTCATCATTCTGAGCACCAGAGTGATGATGATGATATCTATGACCCTCATCACCTTGGATTTTCCTCCCCACTGAAATACTGTTCAAAGCAGCGTTCAATCATGACAAAACTTACTCGCTCTTTCTATTCCATAAACTCAGGAAGGAAACGTACTTGAAGCCAAGTCAATGTAATCTCTGTTTTGCATGTTTCATGAACAGCAGATGTGGTGGCATACAGTGAACTGGCCGTGCGAGGAAATGCTTCCATCATTGAGTACTGCCGGACATCTCTGTCGGCGCTGTCGGGGGCCACGGCTGGTATCCTGGGATTGACCGCTCTATACGGTTTTGCTTTCTACTTCATCACAGCCTTCCTGTTGTCAGTAAGTATACACGAAACCATGGTAACCATTAAGCCCAAAACAATTCACCGATGAACCGATGCATCACATATAATTCTCCAAGATACATGATACTATTTGATACATGATATTCTTCATTCTGTTTGGAAACAGATCACTTTGCAAATTGTTTTAAATGTCCCAGGGTTTTGCCAGATGCAAAATATTGATATTGTTGACAGTTTGGCTTTATCATCATTATCATATGTTTGTTTTGTTGTTTTATGATGCTGTCAACAATATTACAGCTATTTCACAGCAACCTGTATAAAACTGAGTCTCCACCAGACGAATCAGTAGTCGATATCTGGAGCAATGTCCCATGTTGTTGGGATACAATACTGTAAATCTTGATATTAACGCGAGCGTGAATTAAATGCGAAAAATGCGAGTGGTGGTTGCTTACATTATTAAACATCGCATTTATATCAACAATAAGACATTTTGGATAGCAGAAATACCAACTTAGACATACGCTGAAAACAAACAACTATGTATGCCACATCTCTGTTTATTGAGCGGCACTTGTTACAAGTATATAAACAATGTCATTCAAACACTAATTACATCCTGTGAATTGTCACTGCTTGGATCAAGACAAGCGTTCTACTACTCATGTCATCACTGCAAGTCCAGACAGACCCCACCCAACACGGTGTCTTTGCTCTTTGCGACTGCATCAAAGGCCAACACGAGCCAGCGCGGACGTGTTGTTTTAGCTGAAGTACTCTTCTCAGCGCTAATAAGCGGTGCTATTTGGTGTGTGATTGGATTAATGTAAGGTTGGATAAGGGTGAGGATTCTCCTGTAAACCTGACAGAGGATATTTTGTTTAGATATAAATCCACTGATGCTTGAGAGGAGGGGGTGTCGCATTCATATTGTGTCACATTTTTGGCTAGGGGCCAGCAGTCGCATTCTTTTGGAGACGCACTAATTTCACGTTTTACAGTAACCATGATAACAGTAACGGAGATTTGATAGTTTACAGGTTGGCATGATATAGCAGGAATATTGATTATTGCAGTGAAAAACAACAAACAAACAACATGAGAATATACCCTACGTACCATCGGGAAATGTACAGTAGTGTTGTCTTTTTTTTTCAGATGATGCTGTTGATAAAGGCAGGGTCCAGATGGAACAGTTTCTTTGTCAGCAGGAGGATTCCCTTCTTCAATGGAGTCTTCGGGGGCTTATTCGTATCCTTTAACCTTTAAGTGTATATTGTGACTTTTGTCTCACTGGAACCCTCATATCGATACATCTGTACATTGCAGATTTGCTTATCGTCCAAGGATGTGAGCTTTGGTCCAAATGAATGACATTATGAATCACTGTCCTTGTTTATCCAATACATTTTATCTCATTTCTTTTATTATGAACATGCTAGATCAATTCACCACAATACAGGCTTAGAAACTAACAGTTTTTGTCCACTAGTCCTTATAATGATAACATATAGCAAAACCCTTAAAATTGGCCAATTTCTACTAGTCCTTAGGATACCTTTACCATTGGGCAGTTTGGTAAGGACTACAGGACTAGTGCCAATTTGTAACGCTGCAATAGCTATATGCAGATAGCTTATCAATAAACAGAGTTGCCTTTCAGAAATTGATTATTGACAGTGAATATCAGTATTTATATCACATTGATAAATCAATGACTCTGCAAGCTACAATCAAATAGTTTTTACTTCTTCATCGTGTACCATGTTTGATGATGCATCAGTAATCACTGTCATTGTGGGCTTCTAGCATGCATTGTGTATGGGGTTAAAAAGTAATAGAAGTTGGTTATTATTATCCCCCGCCCAACAAAGTTGGCGGGGGATATAGAAACGGGCTCCGTCCGTCCATTACGTTTCATTTCCGGAGCATAACTCATAAACTGTTCAATATTTTTTCATCAAACTCTGCAGGTTTATCAGGTACATGCTGAACTGGTGCCTTTTGCTATTTACAAGTTTTGTTGTTGTTGTTTTTTAACGTTACCATGGCAACAAGAAGGACTTAGGTTCTGTGAGGGTAGGGTTCATTTCCGGAGCATTACTCATAAACCGTTCAATATTTTTTCATCAAACTTTGCAGGTTTGTCAGGTACATGCTGAACTGGTGCCTTTTGCTATTTAGAAATATTAGAAATTTTTATTTTTTACGTTTCCATGGCAGCAAGATGGACTTAGGTTCCAAACTCTTCTTTTTTTTACAATTTACAATTTCCACTCTTGTTATTGTTGTTATTATCCTTGTTGGCACTGCTTATTGCTGATGTTAACAACAAAGTATTTATTAATATGATTAAGTCTTTGAAAGGCATTTAGAAGTGATACACATAAGGAAGAGTCAAGAGTCCTCATAATAAATAAGTTGACATGCATAAATTATCTTCCTTAAAGTATTTATTTCTAACTATTTTAATTGTTTTCAATCTGATCAGTAAAAACAGTTCAGTTTTAAAACTTGAAAAAATGCTATCTGTTTATTCATCACTGAGTTAACCGACAAATTCCTTGTTCTCAAACATGTACATTGTATTTCATTATGTTTGGTTTTAGTGTGTTGTTATTTCTACATATATCATAACAGTATGTTTCCTTAACTTCTTTTTCAGACATATGTTTTATTCTGGACGTATCCTTTCCACTTTATAATGTTCCCAGTAAATGCAAGATAAGGTTTGTATACAGGCTGTCAACATGGTGCTGTGGGTTTGTATACGGGCTGTCAACATGGTGCTGTGGGTTTGTATACGGGCTGTCAACATGGTGCTGTGGGTTTGTATACGGGCTGTCAACATGGTGCTGTGGGTGGAACGAGCATTCATTGAAACAGCCATCTGCATAATGCTACCCCTGCGTCACAGGGCCATATGACACAGTTGAACCAATCAACTCAACTCGAAAGGGTGATGAAATATAGTGATAGCTAAATAGACAGATTTTTTATTCATTCACCGATTGTCTTTAAATGTAATATTGAGTTATGTATGACTTTAATAAGCTCATACCATCTTTGACTGGAGTAGGTCCGATAGTTTTTCAGATATTGTAGTAAACGGTGGTACCTTAAATTACCTTCCAGACTATAGGTATGGAAGCTGTCTGTCCGCCTTTCCATCTCCCGAATCCAACATCATTAACTGGATAAGAAGAACACTATCAGAGATATTGAAATAAAACTTTGCAGGCATTAAATATCAAGATAAATTTCACATCAAGCTAGAAAATTAGAAGATCACTTGAGATGAGGTGAAATGGAGTTTAACGTCGTGTCCAAGATTATTGCACTTACATAGCGACGTGCATGCATGTGTGTGTGTTTGGCATGTACTAGTTCGGACTGATGCTGATTTTATAGTGCTAGCCCACTGAGATACCATGCCACAGTTTAAAATGAATATCCCACTCAGACACAGCATACTGACTCTTAGCCGACCAGTGCTTGTTTTACCCCCTTAATGCTGAGTGCATAGCAGGATAACAAGAAGTAAACTGAAATCTACAAGTTGAAGTCCATGTTGTTTGTGAACTTGTTAGTCCATCCAAAATGTAACTCCAGAATTCCAGCCTAGTTTGACAAGTGTAGAAACTGAACTTTTATAGTCAGTTAATGCCCTTGCCTCAGGAAGATGTGGTATTAATTGATGAAAGGTTAAAATACAAAATTTTGAAGACTTTTTGAAGGATAAGGACAAGTATTTGCGAGCGTCTCAAAGAAATAGCATATTTTTGGAGAGTATCTATAGGGCAATCACCTTTTATCTGTGTTATGAGTAACTGGTAACGTTCAACTCAAGAGATAGTCAGGATGCAATATGTAACTTTGGAAGTGATTTATTGTACCTCTTTTACCTGAATAGGGTTGTCTGCATGATGTGATTGAGGCTTGTGATGGCTGTGTCCTTGATCCATTGCAGTTGAAATGACAAGTGCCTCCCTGTGTTAGGGACCGCCTCCGTGGTCTTGTGGTAGAGCGTCCGCCCGGGTTCGATCCCCGGCCGCATCTTACAAAAAGACGTTAAAAGATTGTACTTGTTGTTACCCTGTCTGGCGCTCGGCATTAAGGGGCTAAAACAAGGACTGGTCGCCTCGGAGTCAGTATACTGGGTCTGAGTGGGGTATTCATGTTAAACTGCGGCATGGTATCTCAGTGGGCTAGCACTATAAATCGGCATCAGTCCGGACTAGTACAAGCAGCCACACACACACTTACACGTGCATGCACGCCGCTATATAAGTGCAATAATCTTGGACGCGACGTTAAACCCAATTTCACCTCACCTCACCACCCTGTATTTTGGGTGACCCTTCAGAAGGATGTAATGTCTAATAGTTTGTTTTGATGAAGATCATACAACCCACTTCTCATGGTGTTTGTCAGACTCTGGTGGTTCATGTTCCATGTCCGAATCCTTAACTAGTGTTTCAGGTTTTTGTATGGCATGGTCCATGTATACTAGCAGAGACCGAGGAGGAAGATCTGAGCCGTGTCGACCCTTCATTCCTCACACCGATCATAAATATATCTCATTCTGTATATAGCCAGTGTCTATTGTGCAATAAATTATTGTGTCAATGTCATCCTGGTTCTTCAGTTATTTTTACACAGAATTTGTTGAATGTGTTTCGTTAGATCAATTTTAAACCAGAAGCTTAAATTTATGACAGACAACCATTGATATTGCATTGTCATACCTCCATGTCAGAATATTGAGATCTGATTGGTTCATGTGATCTTGATAAAATACTATGTCTGGTATCCTGCCTGGGAGGGAAATAATTTTCTGAATGGGAGAACACATTTCTTATACCCCTCCACGAAAAAGACCAGCTGCAAGTGGATTTCTGAGTGGGAGAATAAATCCCTCATGCTCTGCGCATAGGGAAAAGCCACATCCAAGTCCAATTTTAGTTCTTTTACAATGGCAGGCACAGGTGGCCCAGTCATCTAAGGTGCGGTGATTTGCTGCACAGAGTTGTGTCCCTTGGGCACACCAGAAACCTATGATTGTGGGTTCGAATCACTGGTTCGCCCCGATTACATTCCAAGGTTTGTCAGCACCATACCTGTACTCGTGGGTTTCACCGAAGTGGTAAACATCAGACCTGCATCACTTGGGGCTTTCCTCCCACGTTAAGCTGACAGCCATGATATAACTGGAATAATGTTAAAAGCGGGGTTAAATCCAACTCACTCACTATCTGTGTAAAACGTGCCAGGAGGAATGACTGGTAAGTTCTGGGCTTCACCTGAGGCTTGACCTGAAGACATTAAAATGATATACAGATATGTCCAGACAACCGGGAATTTGAGACATCCAGTTCGACAGATCCCAGTATGAATGATGATAAATATAGGAGTTAGCAGGGACCCCAAAGTGAGTTTAAGACAACCGGGAATTTGAGACATCCAGTTCGACAGATCCCAGTATGAATGATGATAAATATAGGAGTTAGCAGGGACCCCAAGGTGAGTTTAAGACAACCGGGAATTTGAGACATCCAGTTCGACAGATCCCAGTATGAATGATGATAAATATAGGAGTTAGCAGGGACCCCAAAGTGAGTTTAAGACAACTGGGAATTTGAGACATCCAGTTCGACAGATCCCAGTATGAATGATGATAAATATAGGAGTTAGCAGGGACCCCAAAGTGAGTTTAAGACAACCGGGAATTTGAGACATCCAGTTCGACAGATCCCAGTATGAATGATGATAAATATAGGAGTTAGCAGGGACCCCAAAGTGAGTTCAAGACAACCGGGAATTTGAGACATCCAGTTCGACAGATCCCAGTATGAATGATGATAAATATAGGAGTTAGCAGGGACCCCAAAGTGAGTTTAAGACAACCGGGAATTTGAGACATCCAGTTCGACAGATCCCAGTATGAATGATGATAAATATAGGAGTTAGCAGGGACCCCAAAATGAGTTCAAGACAACCGTGAATTTGAGACATCCAGTTCGACAGATCCCAGTATGAATGATGATAAATATAGGAGTTAGCAGGGACCCCAAAGTGAGTTTAAGACAACCGGGAATTTGAGACATCCAGTTCGACAGATCCCAGTATGAATGATGATAAATATGGGAGTTAGCAGGGACCCCAAAGTGAGTTCAAGACAACCGGGAATTTGAGACATCCAGTTCGACAGATCCCAGTATGAATGATGATAAATATAGGAGTTAGCAGGGACCCCAAAGTGAGTTTAAGACAACCGGGAATTTGAGACATCCAGTTCGACAGATCCCAGTATGAATGATGATAAATATAGGAGTTAGCAGGGACCCCAAGGTGAGTTTAAGACAACCGGGAATTTGAGACATCCAGTTCGACAGATCCCAGTATGAATGATGATAAATATAGGAGTTAGCAGGGACCCCAAAGTGAGTTTAAGACAACCGGGAATTTGAGACATCCAGTTCGACAGATCCCAGTATGAATGATGATAAATATAGGAGTTAGCAGGGACCCCAAAGTGAGTTCAAGACAACCGGGAATTTGAGACATCCAGTTCGACAGATCCCAGTATGAATGATGATAAATATAGGAGTTAGCAGGGACCCCAAAATGAGTTCAAGACAACCGTGAATTTGAGACATCCAGTTCGACAGATCCCAGTATGAATGATGATAAATATAGGAGTTAGCAGGGACCCCAAAGTGAGTTTAAGACAACCGGGAATTTGAGACATCCAGTTCGACAGATCCCAGTATGAATGATGATAAATATGGGAGTTAGCAGGGACCCCAAAGTGAGTTCAAGACAACCGGGAATTTGAGACATCCAGTTCGACAGATCCCAGTATGAATGATGATAAATATAGGAGTTAGCAGGGACCCCAAAGTGAGTTTAAGACAACCGGGAATTTGAGACATCCAGTTCGACAGATCCCAGTATGAATGATGATAAATATAGGAGTTAGCAGGGACCCCAAGGTGAGTTTAAGACAACCGGGAATTTGAGACATCCAGTTCGACAGATCCCAGTATGAATGATGATAAATATAGGAGTTAGCAGGGACCCCAAAGTGAGTTTAAGACAACCGGGAATTTGAGACATCCAGTTCGACAGATCCCAGTATGAATGATGATAAATATAGGAGTTAGCAGGGACCACAAAGTGAGTTTAAGACAACCGGGAATTTGAGACATCCAGTTCGACAGATCCCAGTATGAATGATGATAAATATAGGAGTTAGCAGGGACCCCAAAGTGAGTTCAAGACAACCGGGAATTTGAGACATCCAGTTCGACAGATCCCAGTATGAATGATGATAAATATAGGAGTTAGCAGGGACCCCAAAGTGAGTTTAAGACAACCGGGAATTTGAGACATCCAGTTTCACAGATCCCAGTATGAATGATGATAAATATAGGAGTTAGCAGGGACCCCAAAGTGAGTTTAAGACAACCGGGAATTTGAGACATCCAGTTCGACAGATCCCAGTATGAATGATGATAAATATAGGAGTTAGCAGGGACCCCAAAGTGAGTTCAAGACAACCGGAAATTTGAGACATCCAGTTCGACAGATCCCAGTATGAATGATGATAAATATAGGAGTTAGCAGGGACCCCAAAGTGAGTTTAAGACAACTGGGAATTTGAGACATCCAGTTCGACAGATCCCAGTATGAATGATGATAAATATAGGAGTTAGCAGGGACCCCAAAGTGAGTTCAAGACAACCGGGAATTTGAGACATCCAGTTCGACAGATCCCAGTATGAATGATGATAAATATAGGAGTTAGCAGGGACCCCAAAGTGAGTTTAAGACAACCGGGAATTTGAGACATCCAGTTCGACAGATCCCAGTATGAACGATGATAAATATAGGAGTTAGCAGGGACCCCAAAGTGAGTTTAAGACAAACCGGGAATTTGAGACATCGAGTTCGACAGATTCCAGTATGAATGATGATAAATAAAGGAGTTAGCAGGGACCCCAAAGTGAGTTTAAGACAACCGGGAATTTGAGACATCCAGTTCGACAGATCCCAGTATGAATGATGATAAATATAGGAGTTAGCAGGGACCCCAAAGTGAGTTCAAGACAACCGGGAATTTGAGACATCCAGTTCGACAGATCCCAGTATGAATGATGATAAATATAGGAGTTAGCAGGGACCCCAAAGTGAGTTCAAGACAACCGGGAATTTGAGACATCCAGTTCGACAGATCCCAGTATGAATGATGATAAATATAGGAGTTAGCAGGGACCCCAAAGTGAGTTTAAGACAACTGGGAATTTGAGACATCCAGTTCGACAGATCCCAGTGTGAATGATGATAAATATAGGAGTTAGCAGGGACCCCAAAGTGAGTTTAAGACAACCGGGAATTTGAGACATCCAGTTCGACAGATCCCAGTATGAAATGATAAATATAGGAGTTAGCAGGGACCCCAAAGTGAGTTTAAGACAACCGGGAATTTGAGACATCCAGTTCGACAGATCCCAGTATGAATGATGATAAATGTAGGAGTTAGCAGGGACCCCAAAGTGAGTTTAAGACAACCGGGAATTTGAGACATCCAGTTCGACAGATCCCAGTATGAATGATGATAAATATAGGAGTTAGCAGGGACCCCAAAGTGAGTTTAAGACAACCGGGAATTTGAGACATCCAGTTCGACAGATCCCAGTATGAATGATGATAAATATAGGAGTTAGCAGGGACCCCAAAGTGAGTTCAAGACAACCGGGAATTTGAGACATCCAGTTCGACAGATCCCAGTATGAATGATGATAAATATAGGAGTTAGCAGGGACCCCAAAGTGAGTTTAAGACAACCGGGAATTTGAGACATCCAGTTCGACAGATCCCAGTATGAATGATGATAAATATAGGAGTTAGCAGGGACCCCAAGGTGAGTTTAAGACAACCGGGAATTTGAGACATCCAGTTCGACAGATCCCAGTATGAATGATGATAAATATAGGAGTTAGCAGGGACCCCAAAGTGAGTTTAAGACAACCGGGAATTTGAGACATCCAGTTCGACAGATCCCAGTATGAATGATGATAAATATAGGAGTTAGCAGGGACCCCAAAATGAGTTCAAGACAACCGTGAATTTGAGACATCCAGTTCGACAGATCCCAGTATGAATGATGATAAATATAGGAGTTAGCAGGGACCCCAAAGTGAGTTTAAGACAACCGGGAATTTGAGACATCCAGTTCGACAGATCCCAGTATGAATGATGATAAATATAGGAGTTAGCAGGGACCCCAAAGTGAGTTCAAGACAACCGGGAATTTGAGACATCCAGTTCGACAGATCCCAGTATGAATGATGATAAATATAGGAGTTAGCAGGGACCCCAAAGTGAGTTTAAGACAACTGGGAATTTGAGACATCCAGTTCGACAGATCCCAGTGTGAATGATGATAAATATAGGAGTTAGCAGGGACCCCAAAGTGAGTTTAAGACAACCGGGAATTTGAGACATCCAGTTCGACAGATCCCAGTATGAAATGATAAATATAGGAGTTAGCAGGGACCCCAAAGTGAGTTTAAGACAACCGGGAATTTGAGACATCCAGTTCGACAGATCCCAGTATGAATGATGATAA